AAATACCCAATGACACAATAAATTCATCACAACGTGAGATAAAAAAAGTTCACTTTTCAATTTTAGAAAAATTTTAAATGCTCATAAATCTCATATTTTCAGTTTTTTAGTTGCGACAGATTTTTTTTAATAAACCTTCCTTTTTAGTTCTTTCCTCCTTTGTCATTTTTTTATGATACAAGTATAATATGTTCCCTTCAGATTTTTAACAAAAATCTTTACCTTCAACTTTTTAACAGCAGGCCACAGTAGCAACAATCCAACTGCAATTTTTCCATAAACGGTATAGTCTAGTTATTATTATAGTGTCTGTTAAAAACGTAAACCTCATTAACTGTAGGATAAGGATCATAAAACTTAGCCTGTGCTGTCTTAAGTCAGTCTTTTTCTCATGTTGACATTCCAATAAAATCAAACATCGTAGGTTTTTCCTCTTTTGTGTTTGACTTTGTTCATTTCCTTTTAGAGCAAACATTACACACTAATGCAACAGCTTTCTTCTTGTGAATTTCCACCAGGACGATGTTAGGAAATAATCTCAAAAGGAATCTAGTTGTAGTCAAGTCAAGAACCGTGGTCTCTGCTGACTTGAGGCTCATTATCTTTAGATGTGTGGAGGCATCATGAAAAGACAGGAAACAAACTGATGCAATGTGGGTTATCTGAACAGATTACGACAGCAGGAAGAGACCGTTCGATATGAGCCAGTGTTAAAGCTGCAGCTTTGCCTCACATGTAATTTAACCCAACTGTGTTGCTGTCATTACAGGACTAGTTTCACTTTACACATATACAAACCCGTGTTATGCAGACTCAGCAATTGATTCAGAATTTGTTTTCACTTTTAACAAAAATGCACATTCTGAAGTGTGCTTGCTCATGTTTATCCTGACTGTGCATCGGTGTTGCTGTTCGGCTAAAAGACAACTTAGTGCGTACAACTGTAACTGTAATACTCATTTTTAAATGTGCCCTGGTGCAAAGTTGCCTTGTAATCTCTGAGCAGGTAACACAACATTTTCACCAAAGATCAAACAGATCAAGCTTTTCTGGCCACAAACCCTGAAACCTCAGCAAACATTTAAGCAAGCATTGGTTAGTGGTTGGAGGTCCAATATTGCTGAATGGTTAGAGCATGGGACAAGCACTGTAACAAATACAGGCCTTTTATATATGACAACATTGTGATAATATATACGAGTCTGATCGGTGTCATAGTTTATGATGAAGCCTCTCTGAAACAAACAGAAGGGGTAGTGAGGTAGCTTCAAAGAGGCAGCGAAGCAGCCCACTCGCAGGTATGAAGTCACTGAGAATCCTTTACCAAATCATCTGTTTCACAAAGATTATTTGCAAAGAAAAGTATCTTTTCAGCTGCTCCTGTCCTCCACTGTTTTGCTTTACACAGCAACAACGTTAGAGAATGAAGAACACGTTGAAACAAAAACCGCCTTTTTTGCATCAATCTTTAAATTAGTGTCTTATTAACTTTGCTCAAGGCTGACAGCAACTGTCTCACTGACACCTGAAACATGGGTCTCAAAGGGAACAAGCTTTGTAAGTCGTAATTTTGCAAATTTAGATTATGTATATAAATTAATTCTGATCTACTGACCCAGTATGGGAAAGTATTACACTGGACACTGCATATCAGAAAGCTACTTAACTGGACAGAGAACAGACACATTAATAAAATTCAATGATAGTAAACAAACATACATTACCATTTCATGTTTGTCTTTTTAAATTTTATAAAGCTGCCCTCTCCCAGGTGCTTTAAAAAAATGTTAATTTATACATTTGTGCTAAAAAATTTTAAACTATAGTTATTAAGAAGCATAATCATGATTATGGAGGTTGCACTAATCCAGGAGCCTTAGATTAAAGTGCAACACAGCTTGTCCTGATAAGACAACACGCAGACAACAGTAATCCCTGTATTATGCTTCTGTAATGAATCTACGTCGAGTCTACGACTTGGCTTATGCCAGCGGCCGACACCATTGCCAGTATTTATACCTGTATGAACAACGTCAATGGCAACATGTTAAATTTCCAGGGAGGTGCATGTTAGGTTATGGGACAGTGTTTGTGTTTACAACATACCTACTGCATAAATTTAACACAGAAATATCCTGTGAGAGAGCGATCAGTCAAAGCTCACAACCAACCAAAACATAGTTCAACAGGGACAGCAGAAATCCAGAGACAAAGATAAAAAAAATAGAAAAAAAACAACCTGTAACCTATGAAAACCTCCCATTTCCTCTAGATCATCACAAAACCAGATAAGTCGCAGCAAATTCAAGTTTGGTCTAGACTATAAAGTCATCTTTACTCGAGCTGAAGTAAAAGTTTCAGGGAGACAAAAACTGCTGCAATGAAGGGCTTATTCACAGCCATAAACAGATTTTAGACCTTCATACAGACCTTTCACACGGGCACCAGCACTTTTTCCACTTTAACATTTCATCTACTTTCAAATGTACCAGGCACAGTTGGTGAAATGAAATATTCTGTTATATGATTAACCATGCAGTCCAGACACCCAGCTCTTTAGCTTGGGACAGACTGATGAGCCAAGGTTACAGTGCAGAAAAACCAGCCACAGACTCTGCACATGATTATATGATGACACAGACTCATGACTGCTTGCAGGAAGAGTTGTGTTGTTTTGTTTTTAATTTGGGCGAGTGAGATCAAGTTTACAGCGTGTTTACAGCTGCATGAAGAGACATGCTCGTCACCACTGAGGCACTTAGCACAGGATTACACAGAACGATTATGGGCTCAGAAATGTGTTTGATTATAATGTCTCTTCTGGTTAATTTTAGGTGGGACCTGAGAGGTTAAACTTCCTTTAAAATTGTCCCAGATTAAGCTTAGTTTTAGGGCTCGCCCTCTGACTAAATTAGTCCTCAAACAGCAGGGAGAAAATCTGAGCAATCGAGTAAAATAGTGTCAAACATGCTGTTGAGTGTGATCAAATAAGATAAGAAGTCAGCAGTGAGGGGGAACTAGAAAAAGAAAAAAAAAAGCTACTCATAAATATATTTATATGTATTATTTTGAGAATGATTTCTTAGAACACTTTCCCAGAAATGTCTCATTAGAGTCACATTATCCTCTAACAAAAAGGCAAAAACAACTGCTTCCTACACAAGAGGAATTCTCTTCCCCTCCCAGATTGATTTTACATTTCCCATCAAAAGTATTCACAAAAACGTCTCGAGTGGTGTGCGTCGTAATGGGCAAAGATATCCACCTTTCCGAAGTAAAATCTAAAACCAAATGTTAGCATATTTCTGATTGACATCAACTACTTTTTGGCTTTCAACAAGTTGAAAATTAGCAAACACCAAAACAATATCTGATGTGTGTAAAATCTTTACTCTTAAATCAAAGCTGGTAAATATCTGGTCAATATTTAGGAATACTTTAAACTTTGTAGGTATTTGTAGTGAAGCTGGCATTACCACACCATGAATTTGAAAGAAAAGAAACTGCAGAAATAAGTGACTTCTTTGCAAACTCATCCAGTGGGACAGTTTCGACATCTTTGTTTTGAAGGTTGTGGCCCCTGGGCTGCATGTTTGACAAAACCACTCTAAGGACTAATTAGCTGTCTAATTGGCTAAATTACCTTTAAAGTTTCTAACTATGTTTTCAATCAACATGCTTTGATAAGCACTGGACAATTTGTGAACCAGTAACTCTTGCTCAAAAGCTGTTTATTTCCACACTTCCTCTTTTTTCTGCCCGGCTGGCTGAATGTGCTTGGAGGTGGTTTCAACATTTTTGAACACAAGGCGTTGTTAAATCAGGAAGGAATTTTTAAAATCTTTCCAAGAAGTCTTGCAAAGCACATCTTCAAAAGTGGTAGAGCAGGCAAAACCAGGGGCCAAATAAAGCCAGTACCAAGTTTCCAACAAGTTCACAGCTCAATTTAAATGACAAAAAAAGGAAAAACAAAAAAAGTTCACATTTGTAGGGTTTTACATCTTGAGACTGAAAGACTTTTACTTTGATTTAAATTTCCCCACACAGCCAGAGAGTTTGGGGATTCCTCAGCTTAACAGGTGCTTTTGGACAAGTGACCACACACTAATCATAGATAAATGAAACTAGTAAAAATGTTTTTATTCTCAAGATTTTAATTTCAAAGTTATGTGTCACACATTTAGATGTAATATCTCAAAACAAGCTACAGCAGGAAATCAGTCTTTCAAAACTAGTCCATTCCTAATTATTACTGTAGTGTGTATTAATAATGTGTACCTCCTGTCCTAACCTGGAGTAGGTCATTCTTAGCTGACTATACATATGTGCTTATCATCATTTCTTGATTTCTATGTTTAATACTTTTGTACATTTATTTTAATATTTTATAGCTTGCTTTTTTCCCTTAGTCTCCCACACCAAAAATAAATAACTAAATAAATCAGGCTAAGCCTGATGGGAGCCCCACCCTAAGCCCATTTCTGTTGGAGAAGTCTTCCTGTTAAAAAAAAAAAGAAGTAGTAGTAGTTTGTCCTTCCCACCATAACCAAGTGCTTGCTCACAGGGGGTCATCTGATTGGTGTGGCTTTCTCTCTAATACGGGAGGGTACAATGACAGGACTGCTGCTGTAAACAAGCACTACACAAATGCTGTAAAGAGGGCAAAACTGTTTTAACCCATGCTAAAGACTCTCGATAAGGCAAAAGTGACTTTTACACTGCTTTATGTTGACACAGGAGGGTTGGACCCCGAGGGCAACCCACACCTTCTCCTCTCCACTCCCCTAGTCTTGGATCAGCTGAAGCAAGATGTAAACCACAGCTGTATGGGGAAAGCTTTAATTCTAGCCATGCACCAAATCCCCGGTGTCCCAGTTTAAGTGGCAACTGCCTGGAAGAGGAGAGCGACCTACTTCTATCACAAGGAGATGTTCAGTAGAACAAACACGAGCCATAAAATAAACCCGTTACCATCATTAAGCTGCATGTGCGATACATACCCTCTGCAACAAGCTCCTCCACGGTGACTTGGTACCGGCCGACTGAAAACACTTTCCCGAAGTAGCTGCTGACTCCGGAGCTGGAGCTGGACCCGGATGCCCCTCCGAGCCCACCGCTCTCAGACTTTGGCATTCTCGAAAACTTCTTCATCCTTTCCTATCTCTGTCAGGGCCAACCAAAATGCAATCCCTAATCAGAGGCGAATCGACTCCGCAGTCCAGTTTAACTCGGTCGCGTCCCCTATCTACTTATCTGGACTCTCTTCTTCTCCTGCATGCTCCGCGTCTGGTTCTCCTAGAGGGACTGCACGACATTTAAAAAGTCCACTTAATAACCACGCGTCATGGTGACACAACCGCGTTCCGAAATCTCGTACCGGCGACAGCGTGAAAAACAAAAACAAAAACTGCCACTTTAGCTTACGCTAGCTAGTTGTGGCAGTTGCTAGCATGCGTGCATGCAGTCAGGACGCTCCGACACAATGAAACGGGGAAGAAGAGCAGCACTGTAGAAGAAGGGCGGAAATAAACTCCTCAACGGAATAAATTCAGCCAACCAGCCCTCCAAAACCAGCCCTGACGTGGTTAGCTTCACGCCCGCCACTTGGTCGCTCTAGTCGGGCGATTTGTCTAGTTAGCTCGCTAGCTTCGCTGGTTAGCGGCTAACGAGCTTCGCTAGCAGCTACAGCGGTTCCTCGAGCCGCCCCGAGTGCAGGTGGGCTAACAAAGTACGAGACGGCACCTGCGATACAAGCGGGCGTCGTCTGCTTGTCAGAACCACTCCAGTGAAGCCGTTTTCATCCGGTTCATTTGTGTCATTTTCCTTGAGCTTCTCTAACCGTTAAACTTCTCGTGACTCCTTAACGGCAGGCTTCAAAATAAGTGGGTGGTTTGTTATTTACCCAATGAGAGTGACAACCTAACCCAATGTGGCCCCGCCCCCTTTCATTGTTATGATTGGTGTAAGTGGAGAATGTATGGAAGCCCATTGATGCCAGCAAGAAAGAAAGATTAATGAATGAGGGCATAGAACTAATAAAAAAACAATCCATCTATCAGTTGACCAAAATTCAAGTATTTTTAATCATTAAAATTATCATATATAAAATTTATAATAATTTTATTTTTCATGAAAACATTTTTTTTTACTTAGTAAATAAAAAATAACTTATGAAAGTATCTTATTTCAGATGCTCCCTTTAAGGGTCACCACCTCAGTTTCCATCTCACCCTATCCCTAGCATTGTCCTCTATCACACCAACCCTCTGCGTGTCCTTCTTCACTACATGCACTGACCTCCTCTGTGGTCTTCCTCCTTTCCTCTCACGTATTCAACATTCTTTGTCCAGTTTATCCACTATCCCTCCTCTGCATATGTCCAAACCATCTCAGCCTTCCCACCCACTCAGCCTGAGCATCATGGCACACGTAACTTCAGTCATTCATTTCTCAGTGTAGAGAATTCAGGTACATGAAGCAATGGCATTAGTTAACTAAAAAAACATTTTATAAAATGAGAAAAGATTAGTTAAGTAAAATTTTAAAAAAATTAAAAATAAAACAAATTATATATTTAAACCCTCACCCCCCAAAAAATAATAAAAATGAAAAATTTAATTATGGTAAGCCCGTTGATTATCCTTTGTGCTTTTGTTCCTAGAAACAAGACAATTTACCAGAAGGTAAAAAACTCTCAAATGAAATGGAATTACATAAAAGTCATAATAAAAAATGTGTTTTAAAAAGGAGTTCACTGATGTGTAAAATTGTAGCTTATATAAAAGGGGGAAACAATCTAGAACTATAGTTTATATTTACAACACTAACAAATATAAACAATTAAAAATGATAAAATTAATAGGGCTGTCACAAACTCACATTATCATCATCATAAAAAATCTGAATAACAATGGATTTGATCTCATATTTTCTTTTATTTTTTGTTCATTTCCAAATTAATCATATTTAAAACAGAAGTATAGAGTGGTGTAGAGTGACCCTGTTACCACCATGGCGTTAATTCTAACCACCGGTGCCAACGTTTTTAACTGCCCTTGTCCCTGCCCTACCTATATGTATCAAGAATGAAGCTGAATTAATTAATTTTTCACCTAATGAATGAATAAATTAATTAATCAATAAAAACATTTTGGTGATGTGATAATGGTTGTCACAGTTTAGCATCCAGCTAAGCTATTTTTGACCATCACCTCAAAAATGTAATTTACTAAATATGAATTTTGATAATCTTTAAAATAACTTTGATAAAGGTAAGAAACTGTTACAATGATTATTATTTATAATTTTTGTTTTCTGCCTGCCTGCCTTCATATCTGCTTATTTGCTTTTCTTGGTAGCAACAGGCTTCCATAGAGGCACCCAGACAATACTCATCTGTTACTGGGCGGCCTGAGTGACACACTAAGCAGTTTGGTTGAGGAAGGGGAGCACTAAACAGCCTGGAAAGAATGTAGTGCATGGAGAAATAAACAAACCTCAAGCTGAACTGAATTAATGTGTTATCCTGATCCAGCTTTATTAACTTGTTCATTATTAAAAAGCCTGATTTATCTTCATCTGTGTCTTTCTTCTGCCTACAAAGCATTTATGGCCATTTTGAAGGCATGCTACTTCCTCAGTAAATTGATCTCTTAACAACACTCCCTTACATTTTAATGACCATCAGCAATGGAAAATAACACAAATTTTTCACCACACACTGCCAACAAGGAAGTGGTGTGACAGCTGCCGTGTGCAGGCTTAACAATCCATCACACAGACCTACAGACTTTCATTACTTTACTCCTCAAGACATCTATGTCCTCCGCACATCAGTTTCTAGAGGAAGAAAACATATACCACTACAGATAAGTGGTCACAATTACCATATTCAGGTCAGCAGTTGTGGGGGGTGGGTGGGGGCAACCCACGGCTGAGATGGGGATTACATAAGAGATAAGGAGGAGCAGAGTGGGATCACATGACTGTATAAACCCCCATGTCTGGACACATCCTGTTTCTGCAGGGGGGAATCTTTCCTCTCTGACACACTTATTGTTGTCTGGTTGTCTGTGCAGTGTATGCTGCCACCTGCTGGTGGTTGAACCATCTTTAGGTGCTGTGTTTGGGTCCTACATAAGAATGACCGGTGCCAGTGTTTTTAACCAAGACTCCTCACTGGTTAAAAGGAAGCATGTTATAGTCAGAGGATAAAAAAACCATACCATCCAACAATATAGCTGTACATTTACAGAAAAAAGCTTGTGATATTCTTGAAATTTAAGTAATAAATGTAAGAAAAATATTTCTTAAAATATAAGAAAAAGTACATTCCCTGAGATTATAATAACACAAATAGTCCGTCCAATCTTTTTAAATCATACAGACCTGACTTCAAACACTTTTTACCCCAGCATTGTTGCTGTCATGAATGAAAATGAAAATTAGCTTGCTTTCTGTGAGCTGAGAGCATTTTTCAGGGGCTTCAATGATGCTCCAATAGTGATGCTCATTTTAAAAAAATAAATAAAAAATAAAACAGCTGGAAATGATGGTAATTTTCAGAGGAACACAATCACAATTAGCTAGACTTTGTTTTTAAACTTTGAGATGACTCCAGATGCTTTTTCTTTCCCATTAATGTTGATCAGACCTCTGGGAACTGAAGTTAGAGTTTCGGGGGGCTTCAGTGACGCTTTAATGGTGATAATAACTGAAAAGTATTATGACTACTGATGGTTCCTAATATTCAGAGAAAAGCAATCTGAATTTCTGATTTTATGACAAAGAACATCTGGATATTCTATGAGATTAAAGTGGTCAATAAATGAGAAAAAATCTCTACATTAAAAAATAAAAATTGATATTCCCTGAGATTACAAAGTTGTTAATTCTGTCCTGTTGTGGAGTCACAAATGTACAAGTGTAACAACCTGAATATTGTATTAGATTAAAGGTCAATCTGAGCTCTGAGCTCATTTAATGTTCTCTGAGTTAGTGAAACCCCAAACTGGACAGAAAAAACAAAGAAATTAAAGAGGAAACTCTTTAAGTGTTAGTGGTTAGTGAGTACTTCATCATGAAATGGCCCATGTCCTGGCAACTTCTCCACACTCTTGAGATTATGCTGAAAGACGCAGCAACCCGTCTGGATCCTGTAGAAGCTGGACTGCCTGTGCAACCTGAATGGGCTACAGGTACCGTCTCATGCTATCAGCGGCAACAGGGACCCCCAGTGCTACTCCTCAGCCTCCTAGTAGGCATGTATGGCCATTTCAAACTTCTACATCACCTTGTTCTCAAATTCTTGCATTTGCAAGATTTCCAGAAAACTTAGTCTGACCTTGAGGTCAAGGTCACACGGCCCGCTTGCCAAGGAGACAACCATACATCATCAGCTTTTTACATCTGAGGGCTAAAAACAAAAGTTGAGAAGAATCAGTCAGCACGGATAAAGAGAGAATAATGCTGTGTAGCCACCATCTATAACACCCAGTTGTTGTTGTTGCCTCTCCAGTGCACCTGATGTCATCTTCGTTTGAACCAAAGCAGCAAGTCAATAAGATGTGGTGTGGTATCAAGACTTTGTTGTATCTTTATCCTCTATATTTACTGCAATCCCTGCACTCTAGCTTTCTGATAAGATGCCAAAAGATCATCTAAAAATAAAAATGTGGTTTGTGTTTTACTGATAGTGGCAGAAGATAAATGTCTTTGTTCTTCAGGTTAAATAATAAACCACTTTGGACTGTGTTTGAGGGAGAAGTTACAGCAAGTTTTATTTTAGCAAAGCTCAAAAAGAAATAAAAAAGAAAAAATAAATATATAGACATAGACGTGTATATATATATATGTATATATATATATATATATATATGTGTGTGTGTGTGTGTGTGTGTAGGAAAAAGTACAGCAAATGCAAATGATCCTACAATAACTAAGCAGAACAGTCAAAATATGAGTAGAGCAAGTTACAATAATTAACTTGCCCAGTCTTGAGACTCGGAGTAGTCTTCCTTTATGAGCTTGTCCCAGTACATGTCCATTACAGCATTTGGCAGCAGCTCTTCATCGTTCACCAAATGGATGATCTTGATCTTCATGTGATGGTTCAAGCTGTCTGTTCCTGCGTAATTAAAAGACAATACAATAAAAGAACTACAATATAGCTTAATAATGCTGTGACAAACTGATACCTAGGCTTTATCAGCTGCCTTTGTGTCCTCTTTGTTTGTTTGAGTAGCTTTAAAAGAAATGTCATAGTAGTGTTTTCAAGGATTTTCCAAAGTGGTGAACAGTTTACAAAGTGCTCCTCTGTAAATCCTTTATTTACTGAATACCTTTTGGCAAACAAATAAAGAAGAAATAGAGTCAGCAGTCTCTCCAATAAGTCTGTCATTCTGCAGGTGAACTCCTTTGTCTTGGACCGCAGCTGCCGATGGCAGTGTTTTTTTGGTTTGCAGCATTGCCACATGAACTAGTTCTCCACCTGCTGCAGGGACCTGACTGTAAACATGAGGCAGGAAGTGTTGGATCTGATGTTGGGGCTACACTTGTCAGCAGACATGAACATACCAGTAGTTATCAGCTCTTTAGAAGAACTGCCTGTGCGGTTTTCCTCAAGACACCTTTGTGGTGTGTTTTCATCACCCTCCATGTTCAGTAAGTAAAAAGACAAAGGTCTGCCTCCGAATGTCACCTGGGGAAATTATAGAAAATGTTCAGAGTTCACAAATATCTAACCAGTAAAATCCATGTCTAGAAATGAGCATTTGTAGGATATGTGGAACCTGAGTTTTGAACACCGCTCTACAACAAACACTATATAATTTATAGCCTACAAAGGAAAAATAAGTCTACATCCAGCGAAATTTCATGTGTGATAATAACAGTATTTTTTTTACCATATATGTGAAGACAATTTAAATTTTTCTTTCAACAAGTTGAATTTATTTAATCCATCCATTCGCTTCTGCTTATCTTGAAAGACGCAATTCAAATAATATTTTACTTAGTTACTTTACTCCATGTGCTGCACAAATTAACAAGAGCACAGTTGCTCTACTGCTCATACTCCTCTGCTACCTGAATCTAAATCACATTTTTTATGGTCATTATTTATTTGTAGATGAAAATATTTGTTAAGCAGATGTATCAAATATTGTAGAAAAGACAACTTGTGCTCTATAAATACTTTAAGAACATACAACTCACATTTCAGCAACATATTTGGGTAATTCAAACAACACAAGCTACAAATTACAGTATAAAGATGCACAATGAAAAAGGAAGCAGTTTTCTTTCTTATGAACTTATGAATTATTTTCTGTTTCTTTTTCTTCTTCATAAGGACCCGCAGGAGTGGTCTGATAGTAATGAATGAACTGATTCATTTTTCCCTCATGCGGGCTGCTCTATCTGAAAATCACCTCAGGCTGCTTGTGTGAGCTACTACAAGAGATTCATTATTTTTTTTGATAACGTGAGCGGGTATCGAACCTTGTCCCAGGCATATGCTGAGCTGACTGGGATGTTTTTCCCAAGAATCGACTTGAGCCAGCATTCAGGAGCCAAGTGCACCTTTCCTTTACTCAGAATGGAGCCATCGGCCAGCACATTAGCAAAGTGACAGTGACCCTGAAAAAAGTAAGATTGTTTTAAAATTCACTGTCGATGCAGTTGCAGATTTCAAGGATACAGGGAATACATTCCTTTCTATATCAAGAACACAAGGATTGCCACCTTGGCTGACCATGTTTTTTTCAATCTCAAGTATCAGTTAACAGAGAGAGAAAAGACATGCGGTAAAGGGCCACAGGTCAGACTTGAGGCAGGCCAGCTGCCATATGGCATGTGGTCACCTGCTTAACGCACTGAGCTAAACCAGCACCAGCAACCAGAGTTTGGAGACTTAGCCTCACTGACAACTACGTTAACCACGCTTCTTGAACACTCCCTGTTCAACAATAGTTTTTACAGTCCTGATCTGCACAAATCCCGACAATGTGTATTTGTCTGTTATCAAACATTTCGTACCCAACTTAGTTATCAATCAAGTCTTTTAATAAACAAATTGCAAACAATTTTTTTCATTTCAATAATCTTGTCAATATTTTTTTCTTTTATTTGCACCACAACTATACGAGTAACACCGCCACCTGGTGTCTGATGTTTTTTCTTTACATAAATGCAGATATTTCAACCCTATATTAAAGTAGTAACGCCACAAAAAATCTCCAGAAATTAAGAAAATGAAGTTGTTCAGATTTTCCCTCTTTGATATGTCCTCTTCAATAGACAAACAAAATCTGCAATCCTGACTATGGATCCTTTTGTTTATGTTTTATAATAACAAAAAGACTATAATACCAGTATAACAGTTTGTATGTTCACACATGGTGGGAGTAACCAATGAATTGGTAAAAAAACCCAAACTACATATTGATATGTAAATTGTAGACTAGCAGCCAGTCATTACTCATTGTTATTAAAAGGTTCACATGGTCACATGATAAAAAACAGTAAGACTTTTTGCTGACCTTCAACAGCAGCTGTAGGGCACTTCCAGGTGAGATGACTCCCCTCTGGATGAGCACAGAGAGACGTCTGCTGTTGTCCACGGCTCTGTTCTGAATCAAAGCATTTTTTCGTCTGGTCATTATACTGAAATGCTCTAAAGCAATTCCTGGTTGTGGAGTGTCTGGACAGCTACTGGCTGACTGGTCGCATCTGGTCGACTTCAACAGGTTAGCAGGTGTAGGTGCTTTATGACTACATTGATTATATCCACGTGTTTCTCTGGGTTTTGAAGAATCCAGTGAAAGTTTGTCTCTCGTGGTAATGTACATTTCCACCAAATACATTTGCTTCTGGAGTATCTCTATCAAGGTTCTCTGGCATGAAGCAAGGGGTGAGATCTGACTTTTTAGCAAACAGTGACGAAGGCAGTCAGGCACACTCCTACACCAAGAAAATCAAAGAAGAGTGTTACACTTGAAGTAAAGACCAGAATAGATTAATTAAAAACCATCACAGCAATAAACCGAAGCACCTTTATAATAATAATTAATACCTTTATTTAGTTTCTACTGCTGTTGGGCCGGTGACAATGAAATATCATGTAATTCTTTTTATTTAACACAAGAAGGCAACAGAGTTAGCTATTAATCCAGTGGTTCTTAAACTTCATCTATCATGACCCATTTTATCAGTCATGAAAAAAAAAAAGAATCTGATTCAAATTTTAATTAAATAAAAGTCAACACAAGATCATCAGCCATTGTTAAGTTTCCCCTAATAAAATATATTGATGTAACTTAGTTTCACTTTAGTTGCGTGGTTTAAACAACCAGAGGTAAAACAGGTCACACTTCTATCAAAATTGAGGAAAGACTTTAAATATCTCACTTTCACCACCATTCCAGCCAACTCTTATTGTGGTGGAGGCACTACTTACTGAAAACAAATGAATGACATTGCCAAACTCTTTGCTCACTTTAGGAAATATCGTTTAAATAATTCTCTGTTGAAAACAGTACACAATTACTGTTCGGTTAATGTAGATATGTCCTGAAAGTCTGAAAAAGCAAGGTGCTTTCTCACAAAGTTTTGTTTAGGCCAAAGATGAGAGCAGTTCCTGTACTGACCGATATTTTCGGGCAAGATTTTCCTTCTCTGACTGCTGCTTGGCGAGCGCCTCAATCAGCACACTCTGGATCTCCGTTAGAGCTGTATGATATCTGTCTGTAAAAAAGCACAAATATGGTCAATAAAACACGCTTAGTATCTTTCTGGTTGTCTTTTAACGCAGCTTTTACCTGCATCATTCAGACTTGTCAGAGGCCAAGTTGACATTTCTATTTGTTTCCTTCTGACCTCCTCCAAAATCACTGTTATTGCCTCTGAATGACTCGGCTATATAATAAAAAAATAAGAGACAGATTATCGCATCAAAATAGTCACACCTGTGAACCTTTCAATAAAGTGATAATACATGTAATTTGTTAATTAGGCCTATTGAATGGTTGAAAGAACTGTTTTTGTCCAATAGTCAATAGAAAGAGCTACTGAAAGTGTAACACGCTCTTACATTTTGAGTGGTGGCATCTTTCTGTCTCAGCTCAAAATCTCTGGGCCCCCTGGCTCCGCCTTTATCACCTGAATCCCTCCACTGTAGGTTGGATGTTTCACTGCAGTTACGACTGCTCTGGCAGCGAGGCTCTGAGGACGTGGCACCTGAAACAATCCAACATTCAGATTTCATTTCTCTACTGCTCATCCAGCCACTCAGCACCTGTGTCCTATGGTTTAGATTCTATTAGTTAATCTATTAGTTTTCATCTCCAGCTCTAAAAGCAGCTCAGTGATATTCCCTTCACCATAACAACAACCCAGCCTGCAAGACAAGAACATGGGTTTTGTATCTACTATTGCTGCACGGCAGTGACGTAAATACTACATAAGGCACTCTGGTGTTGCTCACCTGGTTCTCCGTGCTTTGAAGATGCATTATAGGACTTTGTGTGATTAACAGAAGACACCTGGAAAGTCCTGAGCAGCTCTTTGATGTGTTCTTCCGTTGCCATATCTAATGCACTGAGGCCACTAGTGTTCCTGTCGCTGGCATTTGCTCCAGACTGAAGGAGAAGCTTCACTACCTGCGCAGCACACATGAATTTCACATCAAACTATTTCTCAAGTGTATTCTATCTAATGCAGCATGACAGATGAATCAAAGTTTGTAAAGTTTGTGAAACTTTGCATCTACGGACATGTGGAAAGTGTTACAAAAAACAATTTTCTGCACCTTAAAAGTTTGTCCATCACCTGATAGTGTCCACTGAAAACAGCATCATGTAGAGGTGTCACTCCATCACAGCTTCTAACATTAGCATCAGCTCCAGCCTTCAACAGTTGCTCCACCACCGCTTCATCACCCACAGCAGACGCCTCGTGAAGAGCCGTCCATCCTGATAGTTGAAGTCAATATTTAGTGATCACAATGGAGTTTGTGTTTGATGGTTAATTACTGCGTCATAAGGAACACACAGAGGATGACGCTGTCAGAGTACAGATGTGATTGAGCTGTGACACACCTGCGTAGTCCTCCATGTTGACACTGATTCCTGCTTGAATGAGCATTTTGACTTGACTGAGATCTCCTTTCTTGCATGCAGCGTGTAGCAGAGTCTCTCCCATTGCATTTCTCTTGTGAAGGTATTTTTGGGAGGGAATTTTCATACGTCGTGAGACTTTTGCTTGAATAAGATAATTAAAAGCAGATTTGTAAACATAAATTAAGCTAAAACATGTGACATAACGTAATGACGGTAATTACCTGCTTGTGATGAAGCTTCTCCGCAGCCTGATGTAGACTGGATACAGTTGGATGTCACAGGTTCAGTTGGTTTAAGATGATTTATTTCCATCTCTCTTTTCTGTTTTGTCTCTTTGTTCCCTGCTTCTGGATCTGAATCAGCTATGAGCACAACCCAAGCTACTTCTTTGTTTTGCCTGGGACTAAGATCCTTCAACAAGCTTAACGAGTCATCGTCTGAAGAAGACAGATCTCCAGTTCTGTAGTTCTCTTGACTGAAGTTCTGGGTCATCTCCAGGTTGTCTCTGGAAGCATGAAACAGACGTGACAGCCACAAGTTAGGACTTTGACACCAAGTTTATGCTTCTGTAATCTGCTCATAATCATCACACAGTATATTCTGTTTGCAGCACAATAAAAATATCTGACAATCAAAAGTTCGGAAACTAAACAACATGCATGTCACCTGTGTTCCTGATTTCAGGAATCATGTTGTTTTCATCAGTGCCTTTTAACATTGTTACGAGATTCAGTCTGGCACAAAACTTATTGTCAGGATTTTTCCAACAGAGACAAACTTTTGCCACCAAACCAGGCCAAATCTTACCAAAGGAACCAAAAACTGAGTGGATGAGGATTTATTTCTGAAAACAAGATCCTCACAACAACAGAAAACCAGTATGTGTTTAGTGTAAGCAGCTCATGCAACTAACATTGCATCTGTTTGTTTCTTTCTGCAATTAAACTCTATGCTCACATCAACTGTATTTTAATCCAGCTGAATTCACAACAAAGCTATTCTAATTTATTTCCCTACTTCAGACAGCTGTACAAGCCTGAAAGTTACAAAATTGGCACCCATTAACACTAATGTAAACCACTCTTTACTTTCAAGCCAATTTTTATCCTCCTTGTCATCCCAGTCTGACATTCACATAAGTTACAGTCACTTACTATGGCTGTATTCACATGTTAAATGACCCCTGAGAGAGAAAGTTTAAAGCCAAATGTGGCTGAAGCTTCCTGTTGCAGTGACACTGATGCTTTGCAGTCCAAAGCTCTTTATGCCACTTAATAAGTAACATTACCTCAAACTCCCAGCTTTCTGAGAAACACGAGCTAAAACCTAAAAGACTTTCAGACACGACATCTTGTAGCAATGTACAGGGTATGCTTTTAACATCAAAGGTTTCAAATCTGTTCAAGAAATATCTGTCCTCACTTTATTTTCTCGATAATCTATATGGTCGGGACAGTTAGTCACTGCACTTACCTAAGTGCAGAAGTCCTATGTTTGTTCATTTCATATGAATTATCTGCTCTGATGCTTTCAAGATGCTCAACTTTCATCAGGTGATGTTGATGGTTTATAGACCAGGAGCCTTTATCCTTTATTCCTTTCTTTGAATAGTCCAATGCAGCTCCACCACAATTCATGTCTTCCTCATCAGCATCAGGATGAGATGAACCTGCAACAGTAAAATTACTTCACTGCATAAATGGTGGACAGCTTACAATATCAAACTTCATATCCTCAGCTAAAAAACTGTTGTAATAACTGCCACTAGATGGCAGCATAAGGTCAACGTGTGTTTGTTTTCAAGACAGATATAATAAATTCACCTAAAACTAAACACAAATCCATTTTTCCATCCATTACTAAGAAATCGTTAAAAAAAACTTTATTCATTGTGTATTACCAAAGCATTTGTGAATGAACTTCACCCTTTCATGCTTCAAAAAACACAAAGTTAGTGGACAAGAACTAAATAACATTATTTTTTAGTGGTAGACACTTCTTATACTGTAGAAACTTACACTGACTGAGTGCATGCTGTCACCACCACATTTGGCCACTGATGAACAAAACTTCCTGCTGTTGATGGGCTCTGTGGAGAGACTAAAACAATCATCTCAAAATATCTTTTGCCAAATCTCAACAAAAATACTTTTCCGATATTAGATATTTTAGTGCATGTTCTTTAGTAAGCAACGTTTTTCCTGGACAGCAAAGTGTATGGCAATCCCAAAGAAATCTTAGTTGGGAAGGAAAACCAGCTGTGTTGCTTAATAAACGACTGACAGTTTTGCTCATTAGGACATATTTACTGAAGTACGTTAATTATTAAGTGGTCACAAATAACAGGAAATTACACATATTTATGTCAAATAATGTCATGGGCTGATTAAAATTAGAAGGACATGATTGAAAGTAAGATTAATACAAAAGCTACTTCTAGATATAATAGACAATAAAGTACCCTGTCTCCTATTTACCTACAATTAGGGTGATATGACTGTACTTTATTGAATTTATCTAATATCTAATATCCAAGTCCTTCTATAAGCAATATTATAACTTGACACCCATGTTGAAATACATCAGAGCAGCTAAATGGGTTATCCAAACCAGTTTTTAACTTCAGCGGTCATAGGACATACAGCATATGATAGAATCATCAATCAAATCTGAGATGTCAATTTAATTCAGTGTTACAGAAAGAAATTATATATATGCTAGCTTCCACAGGTAAACCCAGCCAAAGCCATTTTTCCATATAAAGAAATACACAAAGACAAAATATTTGGAGCCAATATTTCTAATAGTCACAACTGTTTTGGCAGGAGCTATTTTACCACCGCTAACTAGTAAAGAAGTTATTCTAATACAATTAGATAACATGCTACACGCCCTTTTTTTACGGTAGACTAATGCTAAAGCTCAGTGAGAAATAACTCAGGCTACAGTCATGATTTTCTATTATTAGATTATATTAATGTTAGTAACAAACGCTTAATCACCTGTAAATAGTGGGAAAAATTATCTTTGTCCTGGTATGGTGTAGAGATATCTGGCAGGACAGTGGCGGGAAACTACGCGCCTGCGCAATGTGTATGAATTAAAAAAAAAAGAAATTCTCGTTATCCACCCAGGAGTCCTATTGGTTTTTTTCAGTGACCTTCATATTAAGTCATATAATATTTATCATGTATCGTTTCTCCAAAATATGGTCGCATAGAGATAATAAGATAAACCATCTCTTAGATAATTTATACATAGCTAGGATGGTTTGAAACCTAAAAATTCGGCGTCCAGGTTTTAGTTAAAAAACTTTTATAATGCTCAATTTTCTTCCTATAGCAGCGAGTAGAGTACAGCTGTCTCTACATTCGTTTAGTTTTTTATCATAATAAGTAAATATTAATGAAATAAATATATGCCGAATGAAAATGTACAACTCTCAGACTGTTGTCAGGTAGTTTATATTTTTATTTATGTATTTTTTGGTTTCAGAATATGCACCAGAACTAAAACTTTTCCGTTTTTTCAACTAACAATTGATCCTTTCCGAGGCGGAACCATTTATTCCCTACCTCTGTTTTCACACGGCCAAGCGCGATTCCCAGACATGGCAACCTGCACGCGTACTGTGTGGAAAGGTCAGTTGTTTTGTTGAGAAATTGGATTCTTTTTAGATGACATTAAAAAAAAATAAAGACATGTGTTTATAGGCTGGGTTTGTCCTTTCCTGTTCTCTCGCTTTTGTCTCTGGGCTCGATTCAGAGAGTGTGTAGCCTTTTGGCTTCACTGTTAGCTAACCAATGGCCAACCTGCTGTTTGACTGTTTAACATATTATCAGCTTGTTTGTCTTCACTTAATTTTCTCACGAATCAACAATATTTTATTTTATTTTAATTTTTGATAAACTTTCAATCGGCATTGCTCTGATTGACCAGATACTTCTTAAATTAATTAGATTTTCATGTTATGTTTCCTTTCAAGCCGTGATGTGCGGTAACAACCAGGTCAGAAGCTGTCATTGCAGTCGTATTTTAAGAGTTAATTTGGGTCGCCATATGCCGGATTAAAAATCATGTAAATTATTAACGAATTTTTGTGATAATTTACTTGAAACCAACGATTTGCCTGATGTAAATTAAAATGTTGGATTTTAAATATGATATCGCCCAACAGTCGTTTAATTGTGTCAATTATCCTAATTTGATCGTAAGTGGTCTGACTGACCAGTAAAACCAGTGCATGTAATGTAACAGTCATCCAAAATGAATATGTTTGGAAAATACATGAGCCATAGCCAAAACTTACACCACTTCATTAAGAAACTCCCATCGGTTAGTATTGGAAGGTATAATTTCTTTTTATTTTCACATTTACTGTACTGAGAAGAATTTCCAAATAGATAAACACTTAATGACTTTGCAAGTAAAACTTGCAAGGAATCCATTAATATTTCAGGTTTTCAATAAAGTGTTCTTCTCCCGATTAATTGATGCCAGCGTTACAAGACATTTACAGTAGGGCTGGCATTAAAAAAATAGAATGATTAATAACTTCACAACAGCTTTTGCCATTTCGCTAACCCATCCTAAAAAGCTTTAGCATGTCACTGCCAAAATAATTAAAAAACAAAAGAGAGCAGAGCATCAATACAGAAAACTAGCAATAGCATACAAATATATGTTTAGTTGACCTCTTTTTGTTATTATAAAATAATTTCAATAATGTTCTCCCAAAAGTCTTCTACATTTTATTTATGAAGCTGATATTAATGATAAAACATGTCTTCCATCCTGGCAGCACAGCATCAATAAAACATTCAAAGAAACATTTAGATTCACTTAAACAGTTTATGATGGGTACTGCTAAAACTTACACCATCACTGTGGGTTTCATTCTTTGTGGAAGAGTTATTTACAAGACTGAGACTGTAAACCATGGTTTTATAAATTGATGAGCTCACTGATGCAGATGCACATCAGGGAGCAGTGCTTGTCATGCAAAAGACAGTGGTATACTTAAATTAGGTAGCATTAAACACCGATGCTCATCATCAGCTTGTCTGCTGGAACTAAAAAGATACTTTGATGCATTTAGTTTATGCAAAGTTCATTAAAAATGTTTTATAAAATCACAGAGCGTTTCTCTTAATTATGGTGTCCAGTTTGATGTTGTGTCCCACAGGAAAAAAACAGCATGTGTCTGTTTGTTTAAACTCCTTATGAAGCTTTTTTCCTCGCCTGTCTTCACAGTTTTAGCAGGATGTCAAAGGCAGCTACTGAGTGCCAGCGGTCCAGCTTACTCAGGTGTCTCACAGACTGCACCAAGGAATATACCTGTCAGAACTTTTGCAGCTGTCAAGTGAGTTTACAGACCTTTAAAGCTTTTCACCCAGAAATGATTTACTGGCTCTAAAGGTGGGGGCTTTTTCTGCTTGACTCACCCCATTTTTCCCATTCAGAGCAGTTTTCTGGTTAGTGCCTTTCCGTATGAACAATAAAATTGAGAGAAATTAGATGCTGACCTGGTGACTCATATATTTCTCAGGTTAACATCTCCCCTCTTGATTGCCAGGACACTAAAGAAAGACAAAAAAGATGATGCAGAAAAGGAGGTGAAGAAAGAGAAGAGGGTCATCGATGACAAAAACAGACATAAGCCTTTCGGTAAGACGGCATGGGCGCCTGTGGATGACGTATATGTTATGAGGTACTACCCACGGACTCTGCATGACCCAGCGGAGGCAATTGACATGCTGAAGAAATTCCAGACGTTAGACTTCACTCCCCACAATCAGCCGGTTTACATAGATCTGAAGCTGGACATGAAGCTGGAGAAGAAGGTAATAATGACAAAAACACTGAAACTCATGTTGAATGAGGGATGGCATGCAGTTAAAGTACTTGGTTATATTCACCTTAACCGAGGCACAAAGACAACGACGGCTAACTGTGGTACTAGGGGAGATTTTTTTAATTGTGTTCTCTGCCAGGTGGAAGTGATTAGAGAAGTGTTTTTCATTAATATGTTGGACAAGAAGGCAGCAGACATTATAACTACTATAAACATAAACAAACACAAAAATACACACAGCAGCTGCATCATGTGCTATAAATTCTCCAGAACAGAATTGGTTCACTTTGACACTTACCACGTATGTTAACATTGCTGGAGCCCGGTCTTCTGAGCACAGCACGGTTTGGACACACCTGCACATAAAGGTGATTCACATCATGGCTTCAAACTGCTCCCTGCTTTTCTGACTTTGTTGCTATTCACACGTTGGTTCCATCAAACCCTTTTAGTGTCCCAGAAACCACTGGCTGCTTTTCCTTTTATCATCAAGCTGGAACCTCAGAATAGAAAAGAACATCCTGATGAGAGTTGATCATCTGCCAGTGTGTGCGTTTGTGCGTGTTTGCATGTGTGCCGAAGACAAATTTTAGCAGTCACACTTGGCAGACTTATTTGGATTTATTTGGTGCTTTCCCATTCTGGCTGTCACTGTCACGCCTCGCTTCCACCAATCTGAGGGTTATTCATGACATCAATCTTTGCAGCACAAGCAGTTTTAGTTAATCTGCTGAAAACAGCGCGACACAGAGGAATAAAAGCCTCACGAGTGCTTCTTTTCGTTCTTTCTTACACATCGCAGAGCTGCTGCTGTGCTGTCCAGAGAGTCCACGGGAGACAAACTCTGTCTTACTCTTAGCTGTCTGTCTCTGCAGAACGAATGTTCCCATGCATTATGAATTATGAACTCTCTAGAGAAATGAAAAATTAAAGTGGTGGCTGAATAACTTTAATGCTTGATTATGTAGGCCTGCTCTGTGATTGACATCCTTATTTGTTTCCAGATTTTTTTGCTCTTTTCCTGCAGCATACCCGGTGTTGTTACTCATAATAAATTACTCTGTTTTTCCTCCTTGCAGAAAAAAGTCGACCCCTTCGTCAGCACTGTGCACTTACCGCACGCCTTCAAGGCAGAGATGAACAGAGTTTTAGTTTTTACAGAGGTAAAAACTTTTATTTTAGCCTCACTGAATCTTCATTTCGTAGCCATTTGTGTGTCTGTTGTTGATGAATTGTTTTAATTTTGTCGGTGCATGATTCAGATGTGCAGCAGCAGCAGCAGCACCTTTTATTTGTCTCCCTGTTTGTCTGTAATGAATGTGCTTCGGTCGTGGCTGCTTTTTATCGTAGAACCCGACGAGCAGGGTTTGATTAATATTCCTGTCAAGCTGCGCAGGCCGTGGGTTGTAACTTAGATGAGCGTGTTAACGGCCATAATGAATGACATCGTCGGGGTCTGCCAGACGATGACACACCCAAATCAGATTTAAATGGGCGCGGGTGTCTTTGGTTGTGTCTCTGCAGGATGCTAATCAAGCCACAGTTGCTCGGGAGAACGGAGCGGTGTTTGCTGGAGGAGTGGAGCTCATACAGCCGGTGAGTTGGTTAAACTAAACGGCACATCCCGTGAGGTCAGATCGAGTTTACCGGGAGAACCTCTTGGGAAAACTGAAAAGTATTACTTTTCTTTTTCTCTCCAAATTTCTGTGCTGTTTACTTGTTTGTGAGGCAGACTGTTAAATTATTTAAAAACTCCCACTGTACAGATTTGTACAGTGGTTAACTGACTTTTTAAAGAATCGACAGCACACATCTTTTGCAGGCAGGCAGTCCACAGCCTGAAAATCTCAGTCTCCACGGGTCCAGTTTATGCACAGAGCTTATGATAACAGTAATGAGACAACAGGAGACCACCAGTATAGCAGCAGATTTGGGTAGATGAGGACCAAAACCTGCAGGAGTCTTAATGTTTAAACGAATTTGTTGTCATGTGGTTTTATTCTTTTTTAAGATCTTGGATGATGAGATTTCAGCAGACTTCTATGTGGCGGTTCCCGACATCCTGCCGAAACTCGTACCACTGAAAAACAAATTGAGGAAGAAGTTTCCAAAGAGCAAGAGAGGTGAGCTGCAGGTTAAGAGTTGTTTTTACCTTCAGCCGTGTTGAAGGTTAAGGTGAACCTTTTTTATTTATTTTTTTTTAATTGG